GAGGAATGTGGCTTCCAGTTGCTTCTGTTTTCTGAGATTGGAGCGAGATGCAGGGGACTTAAGAGAGGAGGGGCTGGGGGGCCAGCAGATGGCATAGTGATTACGTCACTGGGCTCCCACATGGCCAACCATGGTTCAAGTCCCAGACCTAGTAGCTTCAAAATCATTCCAGGTGCATGTGTGTGCATGTCCAAGATGCCAGGAGGAGAATGGAGACTCTGTCTCTCCCTCCCATGAGTGCACATGCCCTAAGGCAAAAAAAACAAAAACAAAAATCTTAACATTTTTAAAGAGAGGAGGAACTGGGGACCAGCAGTTGATGTAATGGCTATGTCGCTGGACTCCCAAGTAGTCAACCACGGTTTGAGTCCCAGACCTGGTGGCTTAAACTCACGCCGCATACATGCCCAACATCCTGAGAGGAGAATGGAGAAGAAGGGATTGCAGTGTGGCCATCCCCCTGGAGGGTGATTTCTCACTTTCTGTCTCTCTGTCTCTCTGTCTCTGTCTTTCTGGCAAGCACACGCACCCTATAGCAAAAACTTCTCAAGAAAAAAAAAAAAAAGGAGAGAGAGGAGGAACTGGGAAGTTGTCCCCTTGAGAATGGGGTGAGTGGCCTGGAGCAGATAATGGTGAAGCTTTTCCATGAAGGACCAGATAATAAGTATTTTAGACCTTGCTGGCCAGCTGGTCTCTGTGGCAGCTCCTTGAACCCGCTGTGGTAGCAAAAGCAGCCTGACACAATCTGTAAGCAAATGTATGTGGAGGTGTTACAATAACATTTACAAGAACAGGTGACAGGCCGGATTTGGCCTGTGGCATTTACAACTCTTGCTCTAGGACCTAACCTCCAGGCCAGTAGTTCTCAAAATACAGTCACTGAGACAAGGGCATCAACAAGTGTCTGGAAATTTGTCAGAAATGCAAATTCTTGGTTCCCACCACGGAGATGGAATCAGAAATTCTTGATTTCTATTCTGTTTCAAACGCAAATAGAGTTTGTGGTTTGAAATTCTAGAATTTAAACGTCTCAGAAGCTAGGCCCAGGGAAAACCAAGGAGAGGTCTGGCTGTCGGGGGCTGCACACCCCGCCACAGGCACAGGATCCCGCCCTTTCTGCACACCCATGTGAGGACACCTGCCTCTGTTCTCCCACGGGGCCTCTGGACCAGCATGTTTGTTTATGCGTCCTCCATGGGGAGCTCTCTGGGGACCAGCCATGGTGATGGCTCTGCTCCCAGCAAGCTGGTGCCTAGCACTCCGAGTACCCTCCACTGTGTGGCCACGGTTTTCCACACAGCCACCCACATGTGCCTCACAGTAGGAATTGTGCTGTTCATACATGCAGCCTCCAGCTCCTACACACCGTAAGAGCTTTGGCTGAGGTCTGTGTACATTGAGAAATATACCACCTTGGGGCCAGCAGGTGGCGTAGTGGTTAAAGTGTTGTTCTCCCACATGGCTGACCATAATTTGAATCCAGCACCCAGTGGCTTGAAATTCACACCAGGTACGTGCGCATGTGTGCCCAAAATCCCAGGAGGAAAATGGAGAAGAAGAGATTGCCCCATGGTCATCCCCTCCAGAGGATGATTTTCTCACTGTCTCTCTGGTGAACACACACACCCTATGACAAAAGCCTTTAAAAAGAAAGAAAGGAAGGAAGGAAGGGCAAGAGAAAAAAGAGATATACCACCTTTGACTTAAAGCACATCCTCATTGAGAGTTTGACACCTTTTTTTTTTTTTTACACTTTTTGATATAGGGCATGTGTACTTACCAGAGAGTGAGTGGGAAATGAGAAATCACCCCTGGGTCAGGGTGGAGGTGTGTGATAGCCACTGCACAATCCCTTCTCCTCTAATCTCCTCTTGGGATTTTGGACATGCATGCACAGTGCCTGGAGTGATTCTCAAGCCATCTGACCCAGGATGGCTTGAGTCAAGTAGCCAGCCATGTGGAATCCAGCACCTTAATCACCACACCACCTGCTGGCCCTTAATAACAACTTTGGAATGAGTTTAGTGAGCTGATTTGACTTCATGCCTCTTAGGTACCTAAGAAAGCAAAATGCATGTACAGCTAATGAGCTTAAAGGAGAGACTACCCTTAAGCCCCCCTCAGCCTTGCAGGGTCCCCCAGAGCCAAGCAAACAGCCACTTTCTGCAGGGTAGGCACTACACAAATTAAATTCCAGCCAGCTTGGGTGGGACTCAGAGCAACTAGCTAGGGCTCTGCAGCCACATCCTGCTCGCGTGTAGGTGAGAAGGTCTTGCATAGACATGGGCAGGTGAGACTCTCGCTGGTACCTCTGAGTACCTGTGACCCTGAAGGAATCACAGAGAAAACAGAAAGGGTGAATGGTCACCTTTGGTGTCCACCAGGAGCCATCCCATAGGCCAGGTGTGAGGGGCCCCAGGGTAAGGTTTGCCTGGATCATGTCATCACACCTCACAAGGAATGCTTCTGATGAGCCAGGAGACCATGGATGGATATCAACCAAGAATCCACTACATTTGTGTTAAGGATTTAAGTGCATTTTTATTTCATTTCATGACTCCATCACAAGGAGGTTCTTTAAGGATACATCCCTGGGGAACCCCACCAGCCCCATCACTTCCGCTGAGTTTATCATGGAGAATCTCTGTTGCATCTTCTGTCCCCGTTTTCCCAGCAGATCCGCACACAAGCTCACACCCTCATTCAGAGGAGGCCTTAGTTATAAATGGTACCTGAACCTGTGCAGTGTCAACTGCAGGCAGGAAGAGGTATTCCAAGAAAGACAACTTCCTATGACAGGAGGTTACCATCCTAGAAAAAAGGATGAGCCCCCCCCCCCCCCCCCGTATTGGCCCCTCAGCTAAGCAATTCAAGGGCCACTGTGGGTGCGTGGGGCCATGATTTAGGCCCAGGCCATCGCTTGACCCCTCAGCATGGACCATGTGATTTTGGATCAGGAACCAGGCCATGTTCTAGGCATAAGGGTCACAGCAGTAAGCCAGACACACACACACACCCAAAATCTCTGCCCTCATGACACTCGTGTTCACTGGGAACCCAGAATGTCACATTCGAAGTGCAGACACATGATCTGCACGGTCATTGGCCAGGAAGCTGGGAGGGACCCCCAAACACAACAGTCAGCATGGGCTCACTGAGGATGACTGTAGCAAAGGCAGAACAGGCTAAAAAATCCGTAAGTGCAAAAGCTCTGCTGAGGGCTTAAGCTTGGCCTGTCAGAGAAGGTCAGAGTGGCTGGGGTCCATGAACTAGGGGCCTAGAGAGAGCACACAGGGCGTAGAAGGCCACAGCCAGGGGACGAGGAGAAAAAGAAGTGGTGGCGGGGGCCAGCAGGTGGTATGGTGGTTAAGGCGTTGGACACTCCCACATGGCTGACCACGGTTCGAGTCCTGGACCTGGTGGCTTGTTTTCTCACTTTCTCTGTGTGTGTGTGTCTCTCTCTGGTCAAATGAAGAATGAATGAATGAATGAATAAAATTAATTAGAAAGAAAGAAAGAAAGAAAGAAAGAAAGAAAGAAAGAAAGAAAGAAAAAGAGAGAAAGAGAGAAAGAGAGAAAGAGAGAAAGAGAGAAAGAAAGAAAGAAAGAAAGAAAGAAAGAAAGAAAGAAAGAAAGAAAAAAAGTAGTGGGACCATATTTACTTTAAAATGAGTATCTCTGGCTTCTGGGTGGAGTGAAGGATATGAGGCTGAGAGGGAACAGGGGAGCAGGTAGGAGACCAGTCCAAGGGTTCAGACAAAAGGCGCCATTGGTGCAGACTACGGGTAACTGCAGGGGAAGTGGCTGAAGGGTGGATGTTGGCAATCGTATTCATGATCTGTTGCTGCTGTAACACATTATCGCAAACAAAAGGGCCTGAAAGAGCATATGTATGTCATCTCACAGCGTCTGTGGGTCAGAAGTTCAGGAGGCCTGGCCAGGTCTGTTGCCTCAGGACGCCAGGAGCCACAGTGCATGTTTTGGCCAGAGCTGGGCTCTCATTGGGAGGATCCACTTCCAACCTCCCAGGTTCATCTGAAGGAATCACTTCTTGTTGGACCATGGGCATTGTCCACAGTTCCTGCCTCCTGGGCCTCTCCAACATGGCAGCTCGCATCATCCAAGACAGTGAGGGACGGTGCCTGCTAGCATAACAGGCGTCACGTCTATGTCATCCATCTCTTTTACTGTGTCTGCTGGTTAGAAGCAAGTCACTAGGCCCAGCCACACCTGGGGGAGGGGACACCATCCCCTCCCAGGAGCCAGGGTCGCTGGGGCATCTTACAAGCTGCCCACCTTAGAAACTCAGTGGCAGCACCGGGAAACTGCAGTGGGCTGCAGTCGGGCAAGCGAAGGTGTCAAGGGCGACTATGAGTAAGATGATGCCACTTCCTGGGAAGGAGAAAACAGTCAGGAGCTCAGTAAGTGCAGGCTCCCCCTAGGCCATCTCTTCTGTCTGTGTGAGCAACAGATTTGCTCCAGAGTTTCAGAAAATCAGGGAGGGAGACCACCAGATGGCGTCATGGTTACGTCACTGGACTCCCACATGGCCAACTGCAATTCGAGGCCCAGACCTGGTGGCTTGAAACTCACACTGGGCATGTGTGCGTGCAAACCCAAGATCCCAGGGAGAGAATGAGAGAGAAGGGATCACAGTGTGGCCATCCCCCCGGGGGTGATTTCTCACTTTGCCTCTCTCTGTCTCTCTCTGTCTGTCTCTCTCTGACGAGTACATGCACTCTATGGTAAAAACCTCTAAAAAAGGAAAATCAGGGAGGTGCAGAAGCATCCCCATGATGCGTTGGGTAGAAATCCTTCAGAAAGTGCTACCTCGTCATCACCATCATCAACCCCATATGAGAATCCATTGGTTTGTCTGTCTGTCTGTTGATGCCCCATGACATTAGACAGCTTTCTGGCTCAAAGGCCCTCCTGGGCAAACCTGATGGATCAGTTTTAACCACCACTCTATCCCCCTCCCCACTTTGTTTTTCTTCCAGAATTTCCCCTCCGTGAAAAAGTGAGCAGGTCTGGACGAGTGAGGCCGGCTCCATGTATCCAGAATCAACAACGGGCTCCCCAGCTCGGCTCTCCCTGCGACAGACGGGCTCCCCCGGGATGATCTACAGGTGAGCCCCCATCCCTTGCTCTCTAGGCCCCCTCCCAGGGTCAGTCCTGCCTCTGAGGGTGGGTCCCTAAGGCCGCTGTTCTCGCCTTGGGCCCACAGACTTCTGTTCTCACAGGGCTGTGGAGTGCATGCCCATGAGCATTTTCTCCAAGAAAGGAGTAGAAACTTCAAAACCAAAGTGAGAAAGAGAAAGCTTCTCTGGGTGGGATTGAACAAGGATACACTCTTTTCATGTCCCTGACTCTTCTGAAATATTTTGTGCAAAGGTGATAGAAAGGCCCTATGGTGAGTGGAGGCCCCTTTCTAGGCTTCCATTTCTTGCATTTCACACATCACAGCTCATGAGGTCCCCATGGTCCCCTGGCTTTCCCAGTGCCCTGAACGAGGTTCACAGCCTTACAGAGGGAGGGGAACCACATCTGCCCATTTCCCAATGCCCAGACGGGTTGGTGGCAGCCAGATGCTCATGGGACACCCTGACGCCTTCCTTGAAGGCTACTCCCAAATCCAAATCCATCAGCACTAACAATGGCGCCTGCACCAAGGGAGTTCAGTGAGAGCTGCCAGCTCAGGGGGCAGAGGGCAGAACCCACATGCTGGCATCACGGTCATGAATGAATGGGGCTTGCACAGGACCCCAGGGGCCTATTGGCCTTGAGCATCAGACCTTTCTAGATACTTATTAGAGCCTAAGCCAGAGAGAAAGGAGGCATCTGTCCAGAAAAGAGCCTGGTAGTCGCGGGGAGACTTGCCAGCATGCAGGCTAACCAGTAGTTCCTTGAGGGTTTTCAACCATTGATCTAAAGCATGTTAAAACCCAAACAGACTCTCACCCAGAGATTTAGAGTGGGAGATAAGGCCAGGCTCAGAAGGATCTCTTGGTGTCCAGGCAGAACAGGCTCCGGGCTTCTACTCCCATGGCCACTGGGTGGCGCTGCTGCCGAGCTTTTGGTACCTAGCTCCCGAAGACAGCCCTGAGCAGACGGCCGGGTGGGGGTGTTAGTGATGCTTTCTGAGCCGGCACCTCTCTGTGGTCAATGCCAATTGTGGACTGTCTTCTCTCCTTCTCCCTTTTTTTTTTTTCTCTTTCCTCCATTGCTGTCCGAAGTACTCGGTATGGGAGTCCCAAAAGACAGCTTCAGTTTTACAGGTAATGAGTTCTTTGTTTTCCCTAAAGCCTGGCAAGCTGAAGGCTGGGGAGTGGGTGGGAGGACCATAGCTCTGAGTCCTGGGTAGTGCTGGTGTTCACTGTGCAGTAAAACCCCCTGATAACACCCAGGCCCAGCCTACCTCTCTGCTGTTCACCCACAGAGCATTAAATAATGTCCTGATGAAGAATGTAAGTCGGGGTAATGTGTGTGTGTGTTCACCTACTACTACAAGTTTGCTTTGATGTGGGCAGATGGACTTCTGACCCTGCTTAGCTCTCAGGCGATCTGCCATTAAAACTTCACCCACCGGGCAGAGGATGAGATGTCTGCCTACGGTGACAGTCCCGGGGTTCACACGTCTTCTGTGATCAGTGTGAGGGACTCTGTGGTGAGTCCATCCATGCTGCCTTTTGCCTGTGGGTTTGAGCTGATTCATAGCCTGAAGAGCTCTCGGGTTCATTGGAGGCCAATGCCTTCTTTGGGGTGTGTGGTACCAATGTGACCATGGTTGGAGTGAACTCAGCAATGTCTTTCTGATGCATTTCCCTGCTGGTGAATTGGTGAATTAGCAAACCAGCTCGTTAATTGCTGCCCCAGCAGGAAGTGGCAGTGAGAGGTCCAGGCTTAGGGCCCAGCAGAGTCCTGTCCAGCAAGCCTGTTCTTCTCTCTGGGCTCTTTTTCACTGGTAACATAGAGGGTGCACTGAGTAGGTGCATCCTTCTGGGAAAGTCTCCAACCCTAGGAAGTAAAATATCAGGTCTGCCCAGAACACACAGGACAGCGAGATCCACCCACCTTGGGACTCTGCAGGGCATCAGCACAGCTTTTGGCAACAGGTTGGTGTGCAATGCTGCATCATGGCATCAAGGCCTGAGAGGAATCTGTCTAGACCCAGCTCCCCGGCACTGAACACACCCACTGCTGGCAGCAGCACTGTGGGGCATTTATTGCTGATGGGCCAGAAGTCTTGGGCAACAGGTGCTGGCGTCAGTGCTGGAATTCCAGGTGACCTTTCCCCCCACGCCTCAGCTGTGAATGCGACCATGGACCTGGTGATCAGTCTAATTTGTGCCACTGCTCCAGGGTCTCCTATGAGGTGTCATTCCTTATGGGGAGGTCTGAAGAGATGGCCGGCTCTTTGATTCTGTTGAAATACTGGGTTTTCAGGAAAGTCATGGTGCATTTTTGCATAAAAAGCATAGAAAAATAGGTCATAGATTTCCCTGTGATCTAGGAGTTAGATCTTAACCTAGGCCTGCAAAGGCTTCTACTGGGTGAAATGTTTGTACTATAACACGTATGGTATAATATATAATATATCATGATGAATGGTTGGCATTTGTCCAAGAAGGATTTGACCAGTGAATCCAAACCAGTACCTGAACTACATCCTCAGGAAGCCCAGGGCTGCCCCAGTCATTGATAAGAAGGAAGGAGTGAGGCCAGATGAGCAGACAGAATTTCAGGTACAGAGCAGCCAGCTCAAAGGGACTCATCAACAGAAGGGGCTGGGTAAACTGCCAGGTGTGATCGAGTTGACATGAGAACCTGCCACAACACTCACTGGTCCTCGAACCCCAAGAGTTCAACCAGTTGTCCACCCTTTAGGAAAACTCCATCCCCGGGAGGCCTTCCCTGCCCAAGGGCAAGCTCTGACGATCTCCCTTTTGGCCGCCGAGCTCTATGTTCCAGTGCCCACGATTCTGGCTCTCCTGACCTCTGGATCTCCACTGTGGTTTCTTCACATGAGCACTCATATCTGCTAGGGGCCCTACAACAAGGACCTCTAAGGACTTGGATCTTTGCTGGGTTTACAGACTGGATACCATTCCCCTTTAGTGTGTCATCACACAGGCACTAAACATGGTATTGGGTGGTTATTAAAGGTGACTGGCAATGATGTGGAGCCCCTCTATCTGTCTGACCTTCTAATGGGGCAGAGATATTCAAGGTCTACACCCTGTCTTGCCAGACTAGCAAGGAAGGTAAGACTCTATAACAGTCAGCGGTACATAGAATGCTGCATAACAAATAACCCCAAAATGCATTGCCATGTGACAATTAGCATTCCTTTCTTGCTTATGTTTGTGGGTTGATTAGAGCAGCTCATCTAGGTTAGGCACTGCTGGGTTTGTTTCCAAGCTGCATGTTGAGCCTATGTGTTTGCCATCCTCCTGTCCTTAACCAAGGCCTATTATCTCAGGCACATTCTGTTCATGGCAGAAGTACCAGAATGTTTTAGTCCATTATGTTCCTAATAACAGAAATACCTGAGCCTGAGCCTGAGTAATTTATAAAGCATAAAAGTTTGGGGCCAGCTGGTGGTATGGTGGTTAAGGCAACTAGATCCTATATCACGCCAGCTGGTGGTATGGTGGTTAAGGCAACTATATCAACAACTGTGTAGTTCAAGTCCTGTAACCTACAGCTTAAAAACACACCAGGCATGTGTGTGCATGTGTCCAAAATCACAAGAAGAGAATGGAGGAGAAGGGACTGTATTATGGCCATCCTCCCTGGGAGGTACTTTTTCACTATTTTTTTTTTTTTGAGAGGTTTATTGCTACAGGGTGCATGCGCTCGCCAGACAGAGAGACATAGAGACAGAAAGCGAGAAATCACCCCCCAGGGGGGATGGTCACACCGCAATCCCTTCTCCTCCATTCTCCTCTGAGGATCTTGGGCACGCACACACACACACACACGCCCGGCGTGAGTTTTAAGCCACCGGGTCCAGGACGCGAACCACGGTCGATTACGTGGGAGTCCAGCGACATAGCCATTACACTAACTGCTGGTTCCCACTTTTTCTCTTTCTTTCTCTCTCTCTTTCTCCAGTGAGTGTGCATGCCCTATAGCTAATTTGGGGGAAGGGGAAGGGAGAAGAAGGAGAATAGAGATTTGTCTGTTGTAGCTTACAGTCTGAAGGTCTAAGGTCAAAAGGCTACATTTGGTGAGGGTCTTCTTGTGGTAGGGACTCTGTAAAGTTTCAAAGCAGCATAAAGCCCCACCTGTCAAGAGCTAGAGCAAAGAGTAGAGCTTGTGTCTATGTCTGTGTCTCCTTTAAAAGCTACCAGCAGTCAATCATGGGCCCCGCCCTGATGAGCTCATCCAATCCCAATCACCTTCTTACCTTTCAACATCATAGTTTAAGTCTCCGTCCTTTCACCTTCACTGCTGTGGCTCACCAGGTTTCAGCGCATGAATTCTGGAGGGCCACGTCAAATCATAGCCCAGAAAAAGAGCAGAAAATGCAATGTCTCCTCTGGTTTTAATTGGAACAGTGTCAGTTCTGTTCACATTCTTTTGGGCTAAGCAAGTCTTGTGAGCAAGCGCAAAGTCAAGGAGCAGGAATACAAGGGGTCTTCAGAAAGTTCGTGGCATATGGATATTATGAAAAGGCTATGCTTGAATTTTAAAACGTTTTTGCATCAAAACAAACTTGTATTTTAATTTCATTTTCCATATACTTTTTGATGTACCCTTGTATAAATTCCTCTTAGAAGGAACCACAACATCACAAAGTAGAGAGGTCATAGATACAGACAGGGGCAAAAGGTCAGGAATAATGCGGTCTACCCCAGAACCCAGATAACTCTAGTCTCTAGAAGGCAAAGCATGTCATGGCAAGACCAGCGTGCTGTTGTGGTTCTGAGGAGGGAGTGGTCACCGCCACCCAAGAGAAAGGTGGGGAAGGCTTCCTGGAAGAGGCAGCACAGGTCTTTGAGCTGGACCTTGTAGACTGGGCAGCATTCAATACAGAGACCAGGAAGAACACTCCAGTAGAAACAGCAGCCTAAGTCACAGCTTGGAGGTGCATACAGAGAGCAGGAAGTGGTACTTACATGACTGGACCTTCAGAGAAGCGGCAAAGAAAAACGAGAGGCTGGTCTGCCGAGCCAGGTGAGGTCAGACTGCAGAGGGCCTTAAATGTGAAGTGAAGGAGCTGAGATGCTTTCAGTGAGCACTGGGAGCCATCTATGGTGTTTGAGCAGGGCCAAGGTCAGCGCTCTGCTGTAGGAAAGAAGCCTAATAGCAAGGAGTAAGACAGGGAGCAGGGAGACCAGTTTATAGCCCGGGAAAGGTGGAGCAGAGCTGAACACAGGCAGTGCAGGAAGAGGGGATGAAGTGGTGCAGGCATGAAAAAAGGCCATCTGAAGGATGTCCGTGGGGCTTGGCCACTGATGGGCAGGTGCCGAGACACACAGGGACAGAAAGGAACAGCAGCCCAGGGGGGAGGAGACAGGCCTCCTTCAAAGCACATTAGGCTGACGGCCACCACCCAGCGATGAGGTGCAGGGTGACCACAACCAGGGGTGACAAGTGAGGAGCTGACATAGCGGGCGCAGGCCTTTGGAGAAAAGCCATCCCAATTCAGTTACTAAGGCCTTTCCAGACACCTCCAGATTCCATGTCCTCTCCCAGCCTCCCATTTCACTGACCTTCCGCTCTGCATCTGGGACACTGATTTCCTGTCTCCCTCCCTCCCAAGTGGCAGCCACCACTTTTTGTTCACTCGTCAGAGGCCATACAGCTCAGGCTCCATCCAAAATCCTACACACGTTGGTGCACTTTTACAGCTGGGGAGAATGTCACGCTGAGACATTTTTGGCATCCTGCGATGACACACAGTACTCAAAGGTCATGACCCAAGGGCTGTTTTGCCTCATCTCAGAGCCCAGCCACATTTGGAGCAGTCCTAAGGCATTTTCCAAGCTCCGGGTCAGGATGTGCTCTGTGAGGAAGGGTTCCTGTGCCCTGCCTGGAGGGAATGGCCGTGCAGTGTCCACACAGCAGGCGTCCGGACCCTTACACAGTTTATAGGTTCTGCCATCATACGATGTACCAATCTGAGAGACATCACGTGGAGGAGAGGAAGGGCGTGCGCGTGTGCTGAGGTCCAGTTGCGTCAGACCCTGACCCCTTTCCTGGGGGCGATGGTCCTTTACCATGAGGACCTCAGCCCTCCCACACACACACCGTCAACACAGATTGGGAT